CAGGAGCTCAGACTTATGCCATTCGCTTCGTCTCTTCAAGACGAAGACAACCACACCCTCGTGCCAAATTTATATAAATTGTAACTCATGCAAATTGGAAAGAAAGTTTTGAAAAGGGGTTTGAAAATTCATGGTCAAAATGTGCTTCCAGATAAAATTAAGTGTTGCAACTAGAACCAGGGCAATGGGAGCAACACAATGATACCAAAGTTTTGAAGAATTGATGAAGGAATCTACCTTTTGAAGTTGAGTTGCAGAGCTCTGAAATTGGACTTCTATGGAGCAATATAGGGCACGATTCTTGAATGTGATTATATGGTTAGCTTAAGGGAAGATCAAGGAAGGTGAATTGATGAAAAAAATGGATTGAAAAAGGCTTGAGAATAGGATTCGAAGTAGCTGAATTCTGAGTTTTGAAGTAAGTTTGGCAGGGTAATTCTGGCTATCTAAGCTTGGGAAATTGAATGGGGGATTACCCTCTATTTATATGGAATCAAATGGAATGCTCAAGCGTGTGGAATGATGCAAATTGGAGGGAAATCGTGTGAACCTGATGCACGAGCAAAGTGTGATCTGATTTGCATCAAAACTCATCTAATCCTTGCGTTTCAAGGCTCTAATCCACTTTGACAACTTGGTTAAACATCTTTAGATTACAAACACGTGCTAATTTAATGTTTAAAAGCCAAAACATCAATTTCAAATTCTGACTTATGGAGAAACTTCAGTTCCAAGTTACCAAGTTCAGTCCAATGGCATTTTCTCCTTAAGGGGTCTTAGGGCAAAATTCTTGATGCTTTGGAAAGATGAGGTAACAAGCTTTACAATGGAAAAAGAATGGAATCAAATGGATGCTTGAGCTGAAAGTTACATGGAGTCAAAGTTGATGAAAAAGAGTTTACTTTCCATACTTAGAAATATTTCAAATTCTTCTTTAAAAATGACCTATAATATCTTGCATCCAAACATGGTCTTCCACTTTGAATTTGCTCTTGACCAAAAAAGATGGAATGAAGTAAATCTCTTGAATGACATTTTGCAATATGAACCACTCAAAATCTCCAAAAATTGAGCAAGTTATGACTTGTTGAAGTTGGCCAAAAATCATGAAATGACCTATAATCTCTTGCATTCTTAAGGCAACTTCCATCCATTTTCTTACTTTGCACATAAAAGAAGGCACGAAGTAAACATCCTTAGGATCATTATGAAAAAATAATGGGCTCAAGGTGATAAAAATTGACCAATTTATGACCATTTGGAGTCACATATGGAGAGTTGGGGATTCATATGGATGACTTGTAATCTTCCCTCTTCACCAAGTTCCTTCCACATGAAAACTCCTTGGAACTTTTGAAGTGATTTGTTGGTAACTATTTGAAGAGAAGAATGCTTTTGGAATCACTCAAAAATACCAAAATATGAGTAAGATATGCCCCTTTGAAGTCCAAAACCCTAGCCTCTAGATCAAGAGAATGCTTGGTGGAACTTTGCCAAGTTTGAACAAACGTTTTGTGCCAAAATTCTTCCTTTGAGAATAGAGATTGTGGAGGATGAGGAGGAGGATTCATGGCCACCTAAACCACTTCCATACCAATTACAAAACAACTTCAATAGTGAGGTTTGAATCTCTCAAGCTTTTGACTTGGGCATGGAAATAAACTCGTGCATCCATGAAGAACCTTGCTAAACCTCATTGCCTTTACCTACATTATTAACAAGCAAGGCAAACCAATATTTCATTTTGTTAATTAGAGATAAAATCAAAGCAAAATAGCCATGATCACAAAAGAACACAAGTTAAGGTGCTTGGTAATTCCTCAGCAAAGCAAGGCTAAAGATAGGGAGAAGAACCAAGAGCCCTAATGTGATTTTGTTGTGATTGAAACAATATGGTATGATGAAGGGATCTTAGGGGCAAAAATTGGGATACAACAATATCCACTAGCTCCCTATCAAATAGGGGAGGCTGGACTCTTCCTACTAAGTCCCTCCACTTCTGAGCGTAGTCTTTGAAGCCTTCGCTCTAACCCCTTAGCCACACTCAGGAGTTGTGTACGGGTAGGAGCAAGGTCTGCATTGTACTAATACTTCTTATAGAAATTAGTGGCGAGGTCTTCCCAATTATGGATGTTGGTCCTCTCTAACTGATAGAACCAATCTAACTGAGTTCCGGATAGACTATCCTGAAAGAAGTGGACCCATAAGTCTTTGTCAGCAGTGTGAGGCTGTATCTTCCTCACATAAGATCGGAGGTACATTTTGGGACATGAAACCCCATCATACTTAGAAAACACTAGCATCTTGAACTTTGGCGGAATGACAATCCCAGACACTAAACCCAGCTCTTCAAAGTCTAGCCCAGGCACTTTCTGAATCTCCATTGCACTTAGACGCTCTTCCAGCTGTTTTTACTTTTCGTCGGCCAGAGGATGCTCTTCATTGTAATCAATCTCATTATCAGATTCCCCGGACTAGGGTCTTCCTCTCTTGTCTCACCCTCTTGGTTATCTTCTTCTTTGGATGAAGATGTCAGTTCAACCACTTATTTTAACGTTCCCTTGAATCTTCTTCCCAGATTTACCACACCAGCTGTCCTCCTTGGCTTCTTGGTCTTATCTTTAACAATCAGGGCTTTCAGTTCCTCTTGCCCTTTGGCTAGAGCCATGATCATCTATTGGAATTATGCATTCTGAGTCTGTAAGTCCTTCACAGTTTGTTCGAGAGCCATTGCTGAAATAATCAGCGAAGAGGATGAGAAACCTGCTTTGAAACCTGTTTATGCAATGATATGTATGATATGTTTATGCAATGTTTTCAAGGACATTATTGGATTTAAACTCTTTTAAACAAAACAGAAAGCAAAAACTTTTATTAGTAAGTTTTAAAGAAACAAAAGATTACACAAGGATAAACAATGAAAGTAAATTCCTAAGTCTCCCATGGGCGCTTCCTCTTGGTGTTGAGGTAGGTGTTGAGGTTCCTCTCTTCATGAAGTTGTTTTGTTAATTCCAACACCTTCTTCTCACTTGGATAGAATTGAGCCTCAAAAGTATCTCGTTCTTCCTTGAGCTGGATCCAAGACTTTTGCAACTCTTCGAAGTTGGTTGGCATATTAGGATGGAGAATAGTACAGGACTCACCCCCTTGAACAATAGGTTCTAGATCACCTGTAAGATGAAATCATATGGCATCATAAGACTTTGGGCTCGAGCTCTCACCCATTTGAGGTAAGGTTCCAAAGGGATGGAGTTCTTACGCCCCAAAGTCCTCCTATCAGTCTTCTTAACAATGCCCCAAGAGCGGGTGAACCTCTGACTATAATTATGAAAATCCTCTGAGTAGTTGAACATAATACCCTGGATGAGCATATCCGATGGACCATCTCTCCGTGCATAGCCAAACTGACGTAGTGCTAAAGAAGGATTGTATGTGATGCCTCCCCTAATGTCCAAGAGTGGTGTTGCAACTGGTTTTTAAATTAGAGTCGCCACCCTTATTTTTTATCCTAAAGGAAGGGAGTATAAAGGAATAACCCTAAAGTTCAGAGATTCTAGATTTGGACTCGGTTCTAGACGAGGGGAAGGTGTTAGGCACCCCTTATCTACCTTGTTCGCAAGGATACTAGGTTTAGAAGTGCAATGTTTAGGAAATAGGGTTTTAATTATTAATAAGGGAAAAGGGTTTGAATTTTAGTTAGGGGGACTCGCCACGATTTTGATCGTATGCCTACGTATCCTCCTAGGAGGAATCAGAGTCCTATTTCGTAGTTCGCAGTGTGGTTGGTGTTTTTTATGGATTACGCAGATATTTTAATTTTCCCTGCACTTAGTTCGAATGTGTGGATAGCAGAGATTTTGAATTAAGCGCGAAGTTAATTAAAAACTCTTTGTATTCCTTTTTAAAATTTAATTATTTGAATTAATTTAATTTGCGAAAAAAATATTTGGTGTTTGGTTGAATAATTTTTATACGTGTAGCATCCTCATCACGTGGCCAGATATTGACCACGTGTTACTCGCGGATGGTGAATTTGGGAGTTGCGTGGGTCTTAATTGTTTGATTTAGAATAATATACTTTAATATGAACATCTTATTAGTCGCGAAAATATTGAATTAATTTGATTAGAAAAATGTTGGATTGATGTACGCATTAATGATTTACATGCACAAGGGTTAATCTAAAAATAAATTCATTCTTCTTTTGCGCTTTACATTATCGTTATTATTAATGATGACCAAAGAAATAAATTGATCAAATAAATTAAATTAAATTACTAACAATGACCAAAAATAAAAAGAAGTATAAATAGAAATCTAGAGTTGTTATGATTAGTGAAAGATTAAAGATATGGCCCAATGACCCATAAGCCCTAATTCTAAACCATTAACCTGAGATAAATAATTTACAAAACTACAGCAGCATCACATGGCGTTTTATTTGTTACAGGGAGTCTTAAAATATATTTTGTTTCCATTTAAACATTGATCTTATGGGAACGTGACATGTGGAACTTAAAAATAAAAGTATAATGAAAAAAAATAGAATAAAGGACAATAGCATACATTGTCCTTTATTTCTCTATTCAACCTTCTCTTTTCCTTTTCACCATGACCTCCATCTTTCTATCATCTTCCTTACAAAACAAACAAAAATCCAAAAAACATAATACCCAAAACAACAAAACAGTATGAAGAACATGACATGGTGAATCAATGGTGAAAGACGAAGCGTGGTGGTTGGATGCCTGGTAAAGGAGCTCACGGCGGAGTTGGAGAAGGAGGGAGTGTCACGGTTGTGCGGTGAGGCAAGCTTCTGTGCGGAGGTTGGCGTGGAGGGTGTAGTGGTTGTAAGGTGGGTTGCGGAGAGGGTTTACGAGTCGTACTGGAGCGGTACAGGGCCGGTCAGCGGCGGTGAACGAGTTCTCTCCTCTGTACGGTTTTTGTTCCTACCTTTCTCCCCATTTTATTTTGATTTTACAGCTCTTAGGTATCATAAATTAGGAAGTAGATAAATTTGTCTGTAAATTAGTTTTGGAAACAATGAAATGTGTCTGCAAATTAATTCTTAGAATTGATTGAGTTTTATGTCTTAGGAAATATTTTGAACCTTTTGTCTGTAATTTAAGAGCTTTGCAAAAATGTTTCTCTTTCTCTAATTGATTTTTTTCGTAGGTACAAACATGAGTTTATTACTTACGATTCGCACAGCAAAAACACCTGCGTTGCTTGCTTTTTTTTATTCATACAGAACCTATTATAAAAATAAACAACAGGTGTTCCTTATTGAATTGGGCCATACGATTAATCCATCATTTTTTTTAAATCATGAATACAACTTCAAATAATAATAATAATTGATTAAAATAATAATAATAATAATAATCACTAATGATAATAACATCAATAGTATTAATAATAATTATAGACTTAAAGTCAGATATTGACTTTAGTTTAATTAATACAATAAAAATAATTTTAACAACATAATTTAATTATATAGCTACAAAAATATTAATATGAGCTATAATACTGATTTATTGTACAACAAATAATGATAATAGCAACAAATATTTTTAAAAAAATGGGCTTCAAACCCTTTTATTAGGCCATAGAATTAATTCAGATTTTGTAAAGCCCGCACACCCATTCTTCTTATAATACACCCCTCTCTTAAACTTGAAACAAATTTTAAGACTTAATGGACCATCAGATATTGATGGTCTATTTTACATCAACACACTCCTTTGACTTTAAATACCCCTATAAAGGTGAAAACTAAATAATAAAATTTATTTGAAGAAAACCCTATATTAGGGTAGGGCAAATTTGGGGTATGACAAGTGGCACATTAGGAAATTCTCCGCAGCGATCAATAAATGAAATGTCCTCTTAAGAGCGAGGACACCAATGGATGTCGGAGTGAGAGAGAGACATTAGTCTTTGACTCCACCTTAAGCCTAAATCATTTTTAATTACTGACCGAGGAAGGTGCGAAATAAACCACCTATATAGCAGAGGGGTGCAACACATGAGAGTTCCTCGCTTCTTCAGAGTACGAGTATGGAGAGAATTTAGGATATCCCCGAGCAATGTAGGAACCGGATTGTGAGCAAGAAATATGTTCATGGCATTCACATATATAAGTTGATCTGAATTAGGAAACAAGACCAACCCATAGATCAAGAGGGCTAATACATCTTCGAAGGCATGGTAAGTCATAGCATCCAGGAAAATCTGAGCTTTCTTTATTAGGAAATTTGCAAGGAGACCCTTAACTCCACTTATTTTTTCCCAATTGGACTCAATATCAGATGGTTTCAAGTGCAAAGCTACGGCAACATCTTCAGAAGATGGGTCTTGTTCTAAACTAGTGAAAGGTACTCACTCCAATATAGGTAAACCAAGTAACTTAGAGAATTCTTCCAGTGTAGGCACCAGTTGATAATCGGGGAATGTGAAGCAATGGTGCTTAGGGTCGAAGAACTAGAATAAGACACTCATCAAACCTTCGTCAAACCCGGTGGTAACCAAACTGAGCAAGTGACCATGTCTTTTGTGGAATGACGAGTCCTCGGGGACTTTCAAAGCTAATTCCTTGAGGTTAGGAGGAACTTTTGTGAAGTGAATCTAGATGGTTTTTCTGCGACCTGAATTCATATCCTACAAAACAGACAAGAGATAAATCCAACAGGTCCTTGAAATGATTAGTATGTATGAATGTCATGATGTTTATGATGTCATGATTATGCTTAAAATCATAGATAAACACAAGAAAATCACACAAAAGACCTTAGGCTCAAAGGCTTGCATGAGTTTTTAAGGTATGTACCCTCTTGAATGTTCAGTTGGCTCAACCTGTCCTATTAATAGTAACCGGGTTCTAAGGAGCCTAAATATCACTGACCTTCCCTTCAGAAATTGTTTCAGCTCCGCACCAAAGTATTACAGCCAAAAAATCCTGAAAGTCCAGCCTCAATGAGTGTAGTATCGAGTATCAACCAATCTTCTGTCGGAACCAATGCCGGTTATCTCACTACTTACTAATGGCTAGGATGAGTCAATTAAAGGTTCTAAAGGTCAGTTAGCACTTAGTGACACTATGAGGAAGCCTAATGTTATCCTTAACTTACTTAAGGAATATTAGTACAATCCAAAGCATTGCGCTAATGTAGCAACCACTTCGTCCGTATCGGTCTACGCTGTACAGCCTCCATGATTTATTGCTACTTACCTAATAAGGTGCCTCATATCCGGGTGTAGGATCTTTACAAGAATACCCCAACAAGCCCTCAAAGATAAAGCAGTCAAAGCAAACAAAGAAAGCAATTTTAAAATGATCTAGGCCCTAAGGTAAACCCCACTTTATAATATCCCCAGCAGAGTCGCCAGTTCTGTGATACGGTGGCAGAACCGACTGTTACTACTGGTTTGCATTTTTTGTTTGCAAATGTCGCGTTAAGCAAGAGTCGCCATCGACTTTTATTTTATCCAACAAAGGAAAGGGTGAAAAGAACAGAAAAAAGACCTTTTTCGAGTTTCTGAGTAAGGGGGGTAGATTATGGAAAGGGAAGGTGTTAGCACCCTTTCCATCCATGGTTTTCCATGAGCTCTTAGGTACTTGCTCATTTTGGAAATTGCTTTCGTGTTTGTGTGAAAAAAAATTTGTTTGAAAATGCCTTAGTGCGGCGATTCACTTTATGGTAACTCTTGTATCAGTCCTCAAGAGTGTGATAAAGTGTGATAAGAGTGTGCTGTGAAAATTTGTTTGAGCAAGTACCTAACAGTTATCTACCTACTCGAAAAAGACTGTTCTTTTCCTCCTATCCTTTAGACTGTGTTATCCTACTATTAGTGAGTAGGTAACCCTAGTCGTTGGATATTGAGGGACTATTGAAAGGGACATAATGGTCATTGAAGGCAACATGTAAGGATACCTTAGCATTTCGAAGGGACTATCATCATAAGATCATTTCTCGTAGGCAACTCGAGGGACATTTAGGGACTATGATCTTTATGATGATTTTAAACTAAGGGTCTTTTCAAAGAGTATCCCTATGTTCGAGGGACATGACCACTGTTTCCGAGGCAACCAATTGTGAAATACCCTAGGGGTGCAAGTGTGTAATAGTGTGCTATTTCAAATATTTTATCTTGCAGTTTAGCGATCTAAGATTGATTGATTAAGCATGCACGCCTAGGTTGCTAACAATTATATACAAGTATATAAAATATAAAAGCGAGAAAATAGAGATTCTACGCTATTACAAGGCCTTGGTGTAGATACATAAATATTTGACTGAAAAAATAAAGTGCGGAAACAAAACCCTAATTAAGCTATTATAAACTGGACACAGTTACATCAATAATAAAGATTAATCGTACCCCAAAAATAGTTACGCGTGAGAATAAAAATTGAAATAAGTTTCAAAACCCTACCAAACCCTAATTTGATCATTGAAAAAGTTTATTTGGGAATTTTTGTGAAAAAGATTTGAAGTTTGACCTAATTTTTGTAATTAATTTTAATTAATGAAACACATTAAAGTTGATGAAATTAATTAATTTACAAAAATTAATTTATTGAAAAAAACTAAATCCTATTTTTTGTGATCATTTTCTGATTTTATGAAAAAAAGTTGATTTGAAATAAAAAACAATTGAAATAATAAGATAACAAAAGAGAATTAAATAAAAAAGGAAAGAATGGGCCTGAGGGGTAAAAACCCAAGTTGGGGGGTGCATGCTGAATTTCTGTCCAAAGCCTAATCCAGTTGGCCCATAGCTGTGTGTGATTCATTGTGGTCGTGTCAGGAGTGTCCACCATAGGGAGCTTCATTGGAAGCGTTAGATCTGGGTGCTGAGTGATCCAAGGGCGATGGTCTCGAGGCATACAGTGAGCGCGCTTGGAAAGGAAGCATTGAATCTGCAAAGAAATTGTGAGAAAAATAATATGTAGGAGGCAGGGATCGAACCCCTGACCTCCTACACACGCGTGCTTTGAAAACCTTTCGCTTTTCCACTGAGCCAACTCTTCATTCCTTATTATAAACAAACAATATACATTACATGTAATGATGGTTAGTAGCTGTAATAAAAACGCGCAGAAATTCAAACTACCCAACCAGGTTTTGACACGCAGTCATCTTCTTCGTTTGGACTGTCGTTTTAGGCAAGGGGTTTTACCTACGGACAAACGTTGTAACTATAAACCTGCATATCTCAAAAATCATAATCACGCAATAAAAATTTAATCCAAGAATCCAGATCAACTGGGTTAGATCTCGTGAGTACAATGGTACTCATCTTTTGTCCTGATTTTTCCTAAAATAAAAAACCCTAAAATGAAACTTCAAACCCTAGCAATGGCATCCAGTCAAATATGCATCAAAACACACAATTAAATATGCAAACACGTTCTAAATGATCATATAAGCATGACTGTATATTTAAAAATCATTATCATACGTATATTTCAAAAACTAATTTCAAGAACAAGAGCAAACTGTGATGCTTGTATGGGTGGTTTTTTGGGTGTGTTAATGCATAAGAGTGGTCCAGATAGCTTCCAAATACTGCCAGAGATGGATTGCAGTCTTTGAAACGCCTTCAATCTCCCTCTAAAGCAAAACTCGATCACCACTCTTTGTCAAAATTTTGAGCAGTCTTGTAGGTTAACAAAGCTGAACTGAATCTTGAATATTGAGTGAGAAAAGATTTGATTTGGGTCTTGTATCTTTTGTTTCTAACATAGGACAAATCTTGCTATCTTCACTCCAACGCGTTTTCTTTGATTTTCCAGGCTTGTTTTACTCTTCATTTGATGGGAAAATCTTCTTTCGATTATTTGATTTCTCTGGCTTGTTTTGGAACAAATACCATCTTCATTCCTTCGAATATGCCTTCCTTACCAGCCTTAAACTCCATTTCGAGCCAATCAAGACTTTCCTTATTAGAACCTTGTTTTCCTTAATGGTTCTGACTTCGAATTGTGCCAGCTTCAGTACTAGGGCTCCTTCGATTGGACCACCCTTTGCTTCGATTTCCTGTCCTAGTGAAGAGAATTCCCTGGTCGAATCAGAACTTGTGGAATCGTGAACAAACAAGGCAAGAATCTGGCCTAGACATATTGTTCGAGTGCCCTCTTGATGGCCTCTTTCATATGTCCTG